TCGTTTCTATTTATGTTCCCTCCCCTTCTGTCCATACGTTTCGCAGAATAAAATCTTTAATAGCCTCCTTACCCAAACCATTTATAATTCTTGGTGACTTTAATTGTCATCATTATTTATGGGGTGATAATACTGATAAATACGGTAGTTTATTAGTTGAAATAATTGACGAACTTAATATTTGTGTCCTTAATACTGGTAAAATTACCAAACGCTCTCGTCCTAATGAGTCTAGAAGTGCTGTAGATTTATCAATTTGTACTCCTGATTTAACCACTCTTCTAAATTGGTCAGTTCTAGATAGCTCTCACGGCAGTGACCATTTTCCCATTCTGATTTCCTTTCCAAACAAAGAATTTGCAGAAATTAACAAAAAACCATGTATTAAATACAAATTAGACAGAGCAGACTGGAACCTGTACAATATTTTTCTTTACAATGAAATTCTAAAAATCGCTCCTATTTCTGAAAATAATATAACTTCTATTGTTGAAGCATTTACAAACGCAGTTATAAATGCAGCAGATCAAACAATTCCTGTTAAAACTCTAAATAATAAATGTAGGCCCTCCCCTCCATGGTGGGATTCTGAATGTTCTGAGGCCATTCGTAATAGGAAAAAAGCCGAAAAACAATATAAATTAGACATGAGTTCAGAAAACTATTCATACCTTCAACGTGTACAAGAAGTGACTAAAAATACTCTTCGCACAAAAAAACAAACACGTTGGCATGCCTTTTGTTCCTCAATTTCTCCTTCAATACCTTCATCAGTTGTTTGGCGTAATATTAGAAAATTTCGCTGTTGTTTTTCATCTTGTTCTTACGGTGGTGCCATTCCCTCTCAATCTATAAACACTTTTCTAGATAAACTTGCCCCCTCTTCTGCTCCTTTGAGAGAGGAGCTACCTCAAAGTATTCCATGTGATTCTTTTTTTGATCCCTTAGAGCGTCCATTTTCTTTATATGAATTAAAGCTCGTCCTTTCTCACGTTCAAGATTCAGCTCCTGGTTTAGACGGTATTCCATATTCACTACTTGCCAAATGTAATGATCAAATTTTATCCTATTATTTAAATATCATTAACGTTTTGTTTGACATAGGCTTTGTTCCTGACTGTTGACGGACTCAAGTAATTATTCCTATCTTGAAACCTGACAAAAATCCTAACGACGGCTCTTCTTATAGACCGATCGCTCTATCCTCAACTCTAATTAAAACCTTTGAACATATGATCAAGAACCGTCTTGAATGGTATGTAGAAAGTCATGGATTGTTATCAAATTCCCAATATGGATTCAGAAAAGGTAAAAGCACATATGACAGTCTTTCTATCTTCACCACAGATATTAGACTAGCATTTTCGAGAAATGAATCGGTCCTTGCTGCTTTCCTTGATATTTCTTCTGCTTACGATAATGTCAGACTCAACATCCTTAGAGAAAAGATGTTTAAGCTTAATATATCCAAAAAACTTACAAATTTGATTATCAATTTATTTCTAGATCGATATATACATATTAAAATTGATGATGATCTAAAATATACTCGAAAGGTTTTTAAAGGCCTTCCACAAGGCTCTGTTTTAAGTCCTTTATTATACAATATTTATACGTCAGATTTGGACCAGTCTATTTCAAAGTGTAGAATTTTGCAATATGCTGATGATATCTTAGTTTATGTTAATGATAAATGTATAGAAGCTTGTGCTAATGCGATAGAACAAGATCTCCTCTCTATGGCCTCTTGGTTAGATGATCATGGGCTAGAACTTTCCCCAAATAAAAGTAATACAGTAATTTTTTCTCGCAAAAAGAGTTTTACCTGAAATCCAAGTTCGCCTTTTTGATTATCCGCTCGTAAATATTCAACAAGTTAAATTCCTTGGTGTAATTCTTGATAATAAATTATCCGGCATGCCTCATATAATTTATACCCAAAAAAAAATGCGAAAAAAAATATAAACATTCTTAGAGCTTTGTGCGGGGTATGGTGGGGCGCTCATCCATATTATTTAAAATTAATTTATAATGCAATTATAAGAAGACGATTAGATTATGCCTCATTTCTTCTTGAACCAACTAGTAAAAAAGGATTAAAAATATTAGATATCATTCAACACAAGTCTTTAAGATTAATTATAGGCGCTATGAATTCGTCGCCTATCAATGCCTTGCAGATTGAATGCGGTGATCCTCCACTTTTTATTAGACGACAATATTTATCGGATTCCTTTTTTTATCGGGTTCTTCAATTTTCAAACCATCCATTACTACCTAAAATTCGTTTGCTTTCTCAGTACATTTCAATTAATTCAGGAAAATACTGGCGTAATAAAGAAACTCCTAACCTAGTTAAAAGCTATGAACATTATAATTCCTTACTAGATCCTATTTATAGGTCGGCGACTCTGCCTCTTTTCTCCAATTCATTTGAAGTTGCACTTTTCAAACCCAATGTTATATTAGATATAGGATTAAATAAATTTTCTATTGAATCAAATAAAAGATTTGTATTTACGTTGGACAAGAATTTCCCAGATTGTCATTATATTTTTACAGATGCTTCTAAGACTAACTCAAAAGGTTGTACTGGATATGCAATATACCATCAAAATTGGAGAATAGTTCAAAAAATGAAAAGTCCTCCCGAATCTTCAGTTTTTACTGGGGAAATGTTAGCCATTTTACAATCAATAAAATATTGCTATCTTTTTAAATTAAAATCAAGCGTGATATTTTCAGATTCTCTTAGTTCTTTACAAGCATTGTTATGTAATCCTTTCTATGACATTTCCCGCAATCCTTTGATATTTGAAATTAAGAAACTTCTATTCTTATACCAATTTCAAAACATCAATATTTCTCTCGTTTGGATTCCGAGTCATATTGGTATATCTGGTAATGAATATGCTGACAAACTTGCTAAACAAGCTATAGTCTGTGGGGATACTTTCTTATTTAAAAATTATTGCTACGACCTTATAAGAACTACGAAATTAGTATATAGAGATAGATGGTCAAAACATTGGAACAAAACCAAAACGACAAAAGGCTGTCACTATGCCAAAATTCAACCCATCATTCCTTCTAAGCCTTGGTTTTATAAATTATCCTTAAATAAGAAACATACATCAATGTTATGTAGAATGCGCTTGGGTCACTGCTGTAATTCGGTTCACCTTGCTAGGCTTCATATTAAAAATTCTTCAATATGTGAATGTGGTTTGGATATTGCTGACCTCAACCATATTTTCTTCTCGTGTCCGTTATATGATCATACTTCATTATTTAACACTTTGGTAAATCTTAAAATTCCTCTTCCTACAGAAATTTGTTCTCTTTTAATTTTTTTCTAAAAAAAAGTAAAAATGTTTTCAATTGTCTTATGGAATTTTTAGATTTAAATAATATTAGATTATAAAATTTTATTCATTATTTAGCTATCAATCGTCATAATTTAGTAATACTGATTATTTTTAATGTGGTATTGAGTTTAGTATTATTTTAATTCAACCTAATATCCATCATTTATTTAATATACTTCAGTACAAGTCATTTCATGATTCATTATTATAGTATTCTATGGTTCTTAACATTATGATTTTGGTTTTTAATCAGAATCGTAGTTTCTCTTTAGATTGTCCGTCGTTTCGTTTCAAGTTACAAGTATTTTTATTGACTGGAGGTTGGCAGTAATTGTTAGGTTGCCATATAAAAAAAAAAAAAAAAAAAAGGCTGACAGAAGCATTCTTAGACGTAGACCACGGCAGGTAATCTTCATACAAGTTATTAGAAGCATGCCGACCTATAGGTCTATATCTATAGGTCGGCATGCCTTAAAGTATGATATTGACAGGTACTGTCTGTACTACTAAGAAATTGAGGACTTCATAGGCGTGATTTTACTGACAGCTGTCGCAGAGATCAAGCTATCTTTTATGAACTATAATAATCGTAGACAGAGAAACATATAGACTAATGATTAGTGTGACCTCGAGTGAGAAAGGACGATAACGTAGTTTTAGGTTATACAATAATCTTTATGACTTTTAAATGTATTTAGATAAAAATATTAATTGTTCTAAGAACTGAACTGAACAAGATTCATCAATCTTAAGCTCACAAAACACATTTTTTCTCACTTAAACCAACTTGTAAACTCCTTAATCTGTCAAATTTGTTTAGCAAAGTGTAGTTTGCTAAACAAAAAAGTCGCCACGGAGAAAGGGACAAACAATTACACCACTCTGTCTCATTTCTGTGCAAGACGTATGCATAAATCTATCTTTTTCGTGTGCAAATGCGAAAGAAGGCGTCAATTTGTCTATAGGTTTCTCTGTCTACGGTAATAACTGATGTCCTTAGGGGCCACACGCACCCTTCATTCAGGGCCCTGATTCAGCGTAGTGTAATAGGGGCATAAGATACTATGAATTGTATAGCCATCGATATGAAACATAGATAGTAAGTTATTAGACATGTTGGCTTCTGTTATGGCAATGCAGTCTAAATGAGTTTTCCTAGAATTTTTACATTCCTTCGGCATTGCAAAGTTTTTAATCATAGATCTTAGGTTATATTTACTCTACGATCTCTAATTCATAAGAATAAAAGTGGAACTTTGTTGACCTTTAGAAGTTTTATAAGTTTGTAGAAATCATTTTAATTAATACAGTCGTTTATTTCTGAGACGTTCGTGAGAGAATCCATTATGATTGTTGTTATTATTACTTATAAGTATAATTATGCTGAGTTTTACCCTTATCTAACTACTTCCGTTTCTTCTTTATTGTATGATCTTGCCTTGGTCTCCTTTTCACGAGAAAATGTTTCTATTTTTAAACCAGATGTATTTGTATGCGGAACCTAATTGTTTTTTGCATTCCACAGTATTATTTTATTTGCCCTTGTGAGTGCGTGTCTTAACATAATTCTAACTTTACCATCATCATATATCATAGGCGCATTCGGAAGAATATCATTTACTTTTAACATCTTCATTCTTGCGTCTTGAATCCATTTCTCACTCTCTGTTTCCCACTTAGTTCTAGTAGCAGAAATCCATTCTTTCCTTTTCTTCCTGCTATCTGTTTTATGCTTTTAACTGAACTCGCATCCATATCTAATTTGGATGCTAGTATTTTAGTTACTTGATCATCATTAATGCTATCTATACCCGATATACCAGTTAGTTCAATTTTGTTATTGTATTTTTTTTGTTCCAAATCTCTTATTTTTTGTTCTAGTGCACTTATTCTTATTTCCAAATTATTATTTTGTTCTTTCATGCTGCGTTTTTAATTTCTAATTCTATAGTTCTACGTTTTAGAACATCCAAATTGTCTAGCACCTCATATTGTTTGTCGTGACAGTAACTTATAGAAGATTCGATTGGCTCCAATTCGCGCTTTCATATTCCTTTAAAAAGTCTCGGTATCATCATAGCTCTTATGAAATAGCCATTTGGTTGGAATTGGAACGTATTTGCAATTATGGTACTTAAGGTGATAAATTTTTATGCTCTTATTATTGGCGTTGTATAGAGTCGTTGAATGTCTTACATATTGCCTCCTAGCTAAAACGGTTTTAACAGCGGCAGCTGTAGCCACTATGTTTTTCCTTCTTTTGGGCACAAAACAACGGTTAAACTTTATACCTTTATGCAGTTTTAGAACTGAATATAAGATGTACAGTTTCCTAACAGTAAGTACATTACCTATGGCATAAAGATCCTCTGTAGGGTATCTTTTTGGTTTAAAATGCATAATTTTTAGTAAATTTCTCTGTGATCTTTCAACTTATAGAAATTTAGTTTTTGTGGCTCTTCCCCATACAGGAATACAATATACTAAGATAGATTGGGCCAAAGCAATATATATTTAGTACAGTAACTTTTTCATCTTAGTGTTTTAAATGTCCATGTAAGTTTCCTAAGTCTATTCACGATTAATTCAATGTGTCTATGCCATGACATATGTTGGTATGACTCCTAAATACTTGGTCTCAGAGACCTTACTAATTAATGAACAGCTGCAACTAGTGCTTAAGGGTTCATAGCATGTGTGAAGTTGAATTTGGAAATTAATTTTAGGCTGAGTTCGAATATAATTTGCAAAACATATATAACTAGTTTTCAAAGTATTGTTACGAGCTTGAGGTTCGTGACAATAAAAATTGCCGATAAAATTACCTAAATTAACACTTTAATTTACTTTACACAATTAAAGTTAAAACACTAATAATTTAAACACACTAATTCACTTAATTCCACTCCGAAGCTTCGCTTGTTTCGCCCAAATCAACACTAACTCCATCGCATCTTGCAGCGCCTATATATTTAAATTAGCAAAGAAATATCCAGAATGTTCAAGTAAACACGCGGAAGGTACCGAGCGTTCGAGTTTCGACTAGGCGCTGTCAGTTGAGTGATTTGTGATGTCATTTTCTCAATGCTCCCCTCGCTCTCGTTCCTGACACTAGATGGCGCTAGTTGACTTATTCATGCAACACTGCCCCCTCCTAAGACATGCTCGTCCCGAGCATTATCGGTCCCATAATAACGCGCCAAGCGATCCACATGGACGATCTTAGGAGTCCCTCTTGCGCCTTTCTGTATCCGGTAGGTCACATCGTTGATCCTGGTTACAATCCGGTACGGGCCGTCCCATTTAGCTTGAAGCTTAGGAGATTTCCCTTTGCTGCGGACTGGATTGTGCAACCACACTAATGAACCTTCGTTGAACCCTTTATTGTTCATTTTGCGGTCATACCGGGTTTTCATCTTTTCAGACATTTGCTGGCCCGATTGTCTGACGTGCTCATAAACGTCATTCATTTTTTTTCGCAAGTCATTTGCATAATCGGTTATACTGCGTGGAGCATCGGGTGGTATCCCGGTGATCAGGTCTGCAGGCAGCCGTAATTCTCTTCCAAAGTTTGCGAAAGCTGGTGTCACTGCTGTACTTTCGTGAACAGAACTTCGATATGACAACAAAAACGGTTGTATGTGCTTGTCCCAATCTCGTTGCCGATTGTCTACAACTTTTGCTAGGTACCTCTCCAATGTCTGATTAAATCGTTCCACCATTCCATCAGATTGCGGGTGATAAGAAGTCGTTCTTGTTTTATGAGTACCCACAACTCGGCAAGTTTCCTGGAATATTTGAGACTCAAAATTCCTTCCTTGATCGCTGTGAATCTCTAAAGGTACTCCAAAACGGCAGAAAGATTCATGAACTAGTTTATCTGCAACTGTTGAAGCTTCTTGATTTGGAATGGCGAAGACTTCTGGCCACTTAGTGAAATAATCCATCACAACCATGAAATACTTGTTACCGCTTTCACTCTCCGGAAACGGCCCCGCCACGTCAATGGCTATTCTCTCCCATGGTGCACCCACATTGTACAACTTCAATGCACCTCTACTACGAGTCTGAGGTCCCTTTACAGCCGCACAATTTGTACATTTGCGACACCAGTCCTCGACATCGTTTCGACAGTGGACCCAGTAAAACCGTTCTCGGATCTTCAGTAGAGTTCGTTTAACTCCCAGATGGCCTCCTGAATAATCATTATGGTACAGCTGTAGAACATCCGGTACTTTAGCTTTAGGGACAACCATTTGTAAATGACAGCTGTCTCCCCGAACATTTTCCCATTTACGGCACAGAACTCCATCCTGAAGCAGCAAGCTGTCCCACTGGGCCCAATAGCTTTTAGTGGTTGACCTCATTGCTGAGACGTCGCTCCACTTAGGCTTGGGAGCACTGGCCCTTATCCATTCCAGAATCGGCTTGATGTCCGGATCTTCCTGCTGTGCATGTTGTAAGCTGTCCTTCCATTCGTTGCTGAGGTGGTCCGTCCTGAGCATCCTCACGGATACCTCTTCCTTACTCTCTTGCCTAGTACAATGGTTGCAATCTTCAGGACAAGGTCTTCTTGACAATGCATCTGCGTTGCCGTAAGATTTTCCGCTGCGATGTTCGATCTCAAAGTCGTATTCCTGCAGTAGTTCAATCCACCTCGCAACTTGTCCTTCTGGATTTTTAAACTGCAATAGCCATTTTAGTGCAGCATGGTCAGTTCGTAAGTGAAACTTTCGTCCCAGAAGATATTTGCTAAAATGCTGCAACGACTTTACCACAGCGAGCAATTCGCGTCTTGTGACACAATAGTTCCTTTCCGGTTTTGACAACGACTTGCTGAAGTACGCTATTACGACCTCTTGGTCACCATTCCGTTGAGACAACACACCGCCGAGTCCTATATCACTTGCGTCTGTGTCAACTATAAATTCTTTGCTTGCATCAGGGTATCCCAAAATAGGTGTTTTGCACAGACGGTCCTTGAGCTCCTGGAATGCGATATTGCAACTTTCATCCCAGCAGAAATGTCGCTTCTCCTCGGTTAGCTTGTGCAGAGGTTTGGCTATATCTGCAAAGTTCTTCACGAATCGCCGGTAATAGGAGCACAAACCCAAAAATGCTCTAACCTGCGTCTTGTCTTTTGGAACCGGCCAATCCTTGACAGCGGCGATTTTCTCTGGATCTGTGCGGATACCTTCTTCCGATACTACAAACCCCAAAAAGTTAACTTGCCGTTGAAACAGTGAACATTTCTTCGGGCTCAACTTGAGGTTGGCACTCTGAATCTTCATGAGCACGCGTTCCAGGTTTTGAAGGTGTTCCTCAAACGTACGGCCCACGATGATGATGTCATCCAAGTAGACCAGACAGGCATCGCCAATTAGCCCGGTAAGTACAAGTTCCATCAGCCTTTCAAACGTTGCTGGAGCATTGCACAACCCAAACGGCATTACTTTGAATTGCCACAGACCCTTTCCCGTCGAGAACGCAGTTTTCTCCTTGTCCTTAGGGTCAATTTCAACTTGCCAGTAGCCACTTTTTAGATCTAGCGTGCTAAACCATTTTACTCCTGTAAGCATGTCCAGCGTGTCATCAATTCTTGGCAAGGGATAGCTGTCCTTCTTTGTAACGTCGTTCAGACGGCGGTAATCAACACAGAACCGCATGCTGCCATCCTTCTTTTTCACCAGCACCACTGGTGAACACCATGGACTAGAGGAAGTTTCAATAACACCATCCTTCACCATTCCTTCAATCATGGTTTCCACTTCCTTTTCACGTGCTACCGGCAATCTTCTTGGCCGCTGACGGATAGGCAATTCCTCTCCTGTGTTTATTTTGTGTTGAACTAGGCCAGTCTTTCCTATGTCAGCATCATTTGATGAGAATACATCGGCGTACTTGAGTAACAACTTCTTCGCCTTGACCAATTCGTTCGGGGACAGAACACTGCGACAGTCTTCCAAAAGTGTGGTCACTCTCGTTTCTGAATCCTTGCTGGGGGTCCCACTCGATATATATTGGCACTGACGTAACCAATCCACTTCCTCACAAGTACCAACCAGTGTGCCTTTTTCTATAATCTGTTCCTGGTCGCAAAGGTTCAGCACACGTACTCCTGAGATGTCAGTGGTCCTGACCAAGGTTCGAGCTACTTTCCATGGAAGGTGCTCCAGCAAGACCTTCTAGCAAGTTTACCCTTTCCACAAGTACACAACGGTGAGCTTGCCCAGCGTTTCGAGGAAGACTAACCGGAACAATCGTTTCCGATCTCGGCGGAAGAACAATCTTCTTGATGCTGTACACGTTCCCTGGTAACGCACCTTCCATAAAAAGTTCCTCCTGTCCACATTTCAAAAAACCTTGCTTAACGTCGATCTCGCAACAATTATTCCTCATAAAGTCTAAGCCTAGGATGCAGTCGTCCATTATATCAGCCACGATGACATTATGCAGGTAGATCACGTTGCCTAGCTTCAACTCCATCTCCTTCTCTCCACGGACGGGTATACGCTGACCGGTGGCTGTTACCAAATTAATGCGTTCTCGGTTGTATGCGGAGTCCCCAAGGAACTGACTTATAAGTTGGGAACTAACAACCGTACGAGAGGCTCCAGTGTCTATGGTCAGTTTACACGGCATTCCGTTGACCTCGCCCTTGATGATTAGACTGTTCCCATCATGGGTTTGTGAGATCGAGATCCTTGGGGCTCTTTTAACATCAGCCAGCACCCACCCCGCAGTTCTGGCTTTTACTCGTTTCCCTGCTGCTGCTGGGCGGTGCTGTTGGCCGCACTACCCACCTGGGATCGTTCACCTTCCCTTTCTAGGGTTCGCTTAGGGCAGCTGGATCGAAGATGGCCCTTTTCCCCACAGCCATAGCACCTTGGGCTGTATCCTTTGTTGCGGTCGCGAACTGTAGC